AACCTCTAACTAGCGCTTTAAGTGAAATTCCCTTTAAAAGAGCGTGCTTCTAAAACCAGCTTGTACTGTAAGCTGTGCAGCATGGGAAAGTATGTCCCCAGCTGGAAACGGGACATTAAGGGCACATCCTGTGAATAGATGTGTGCAGCTCCCTGCCCGGCCCGTGGTGCACAGCCCCGAGCAGTACCAGCACCCTGTCTTGGTCTGAGCCCTGGCTCTGGGGCACGCAGGGTGTTGCAGGGTGCCCAGGTGCCTTGCCATTGTGTTGCTGAGGGCCTGCTCTGTGGCAGTGTTCTCTCCTTGTTGTTTTTGTGCTGTTGTTTTCACGGACCTGCACACCCTGACAGTGGTGTTGTTACAGGCTCACATGGGAAGCAATTGCTGCCAGCATGAGAATTGTCCCTTCCTCCCCCTCTTCTCCTGCCCTTTGGCTGTAACATTAGGGAACCCAATAACATGCCTGCACAAAGCTTAACAACCAGCCAACAATTTTGTTACAATTTTTCCCCAAAAGCAACCTTCCCTCTTCTATTCTACTCTAATAAACCCTTGTGTGTGTGAACACATATCAGCATCTTTTGTGCAACCTGGTTGATGAGCAATGTCACCTGAAGGCTGGAGCATGGGAATTGTAACTTTCTGATTTCTTTTCCCAGGGATGAGAGACTAAAGAGGGGGAAATACTTGTATGTTGGGCATAAATTTTTTGAGGATGATGTAAGCTTTCTTTGAGGAGTTCTTCAGTAAGAAATACTGAATGTGGTGGAAGGAGCTTCCTTAGAGCGTTTTCTTTGCCCAGGAGGGTGTAGATTTGTTTCACATGTTGTGGCTTTATTATTTCCAGGTCTCTTGAGCTCTGGCAGGTGTGACGTGGCCACACTTGGTGAAGGTTGGCAGAGTAGAAAATAAGATCTGGTCAGGAAATTTTCTTTCTCAGCTTATTTCCATACATATTCAGTCGGTCTTGTCAGGACAGTATGCACTGACAGCTCCTCGAGGCAGTCGATGCTTGGGTCTGATATCTGGGCTATGCTGTCTGGTTTGATTAGCTGGTGTGCTAGGTGAAATACCTCTGAAATAGCAGCGATTCTGCTGTGTTGATTGCAGAGTAGTGGAAGGCTCATTTTGTCTCATATTCTGCAGTGTCATAGTCCGGTAAGAGGAAGTGGTATGATGACAGATGGATTTAGGATGGTAAGGTTTTGTTCTACTGGCCTTCTAGCTTTTTGCTTTCAGCCCTTCTGTAATTTGTCTGCCAACCACAGTGGTTTATTTAGAAGGGATTGAGGACTGGACAGTTGCCAGTACAGGTATCAGTGGTAGTAGGCATCAGGTAATTGTTGTGTTTTACGGATTTGGGGGGATTTTGGCATTATGTTGGAACAATTTATTCTCATCAAATGAGATGAAATATAGAAGAAAAACATCTCTGAAGCAAATGAGCTACAGTTATTTGTTCTGCTTTCAGGAAAGCAGGTTCTGACCATGCCTGTGTGAGGTGAAGATTAGGGACAGGGACAGCTCTGTGTTGGGGAAATCTTCAATATCCACATATGCTGGAAGAGGGGATCCTGTCTGTGTGTGCACGGGCCTCCAGAGACCGCTTGAGAGAATCCCATGTTTTCTGTAGTATAGGGCACAAACCAACTCTTAGGTGATCTACACTGTTTGTTTGGAGATTAAGGACAAAAAAGACCTGAAGGACTATGAGGGGTTTCAGTACCAGGCTGTCCAAAAGATCTGTACATGTCTCCTAGGAATGATGTCAGGTGTCTGCTTGGCAAAAGGAGCCAGGGGGTTCTCCTGTTCTTCACTTCAAATGGGGTCCCTCAAATCTTTTTGTGTTTGATATTAATCACTTTTGATTTGAGATCATGGGAACAGGACCTCATGGGACAATCAAGGTGGGCACTTCCTCCAAAAGCAAATACGCAGCCTTCAATACTGCGGTCCACCAGGCTGCCGCCTTAAGCATTGATGGAAGCGGATCATTCGTGGCCAGCCTCATAAACGCATGCTAGATTTAGTGCTGGGATAGTAAAATGTCTTTCAGTTGGCCTAAGAATGCCAGTTACTACATTTTCATGCTATCTGTTTAGAGATGCGTATTTTCAGTAGTGTACAAGTGTTAATGGCAACAGCTTGTAAGTTTGTATCATCCTGTGGGTTATGGGTGAACCGTTAAAATTCATACAAAGAGCAGTGAAATATGAAAGCTGCTAGGGAAAAGAAAGGTCCATTAAATATTTACACTAGATTGTGAATCAGCTGCTTTACTGTTAGTTAGTGAATAAATAAAAAACAATCTCACTGTTACGACAACTAGAAAAGAGTTTACCAGAAATAGCTTCCAACATCAGGCAGGCAGGGAGTGCAAGGGAACAGCAACTCAGGAATGGATTGTAGTAAAGGACCTGACTTGTCCTGAAGTCAGCAAAAGCCTCTGCCTTGCCCTTAGCAGTGACTGGGTAAGGTCTCTACTGCAGTGTCCGTCTCTCAAATGTATCATACGTTTTCATGACCCGGGAGATGATGGGTCATATTTTTTTTCTATGCATAGCCTGCGCGTTCAGGCTTGGTCCTTTATTGACTGCTTCCATGTGGAGGAAAAGGAGAGCTGCTGTAGCCTGTTATGTCACTCTTAATACAAAGAAAACCCTTGTATCCATCAAAAGTGGACAATCAGACAAAAAAACCAAGCCTAGCATTCAAGGTTGTCTCACAGTTTGTGTACACATTATGATCTTATGTTGTGTTGCCATCAGTCTTTATATGTATGCGTAATTCATGTCATGAAATATGATTTGTGTGTCTTGAGAGCCCTTATTTGACATAAGGGTCTTAGATACTTAAAGAGATGATGGTAGCAGCAATGTGGTCTTCAATTTCAGATTGGCACTGAATGGGACGCCAAGGAAAGGCTTTTCCGGAATTTTGGAGGACTTCTTGGGCCAACAGATGAGCCAGTTGGAATGCAGAAATGGGGAAAAGGCCCCAATGTCACCGTTACTGTCATTTGGGTGGATCCTGTTAATGTAATTGCAGCAACATACGATATTCTTATTGAATCCAGTGCCGAGTTTACTCACTACAAACCACCTCTGAATTTGCCACTGCGACCTGGTGTCTGGACAATAAAAATTCTGCACCACTGGGTACAAGTAGCTGAAACCAAATTCCTTGTTACTCCTCTCACCTTCTCTAATCGGCAGCCTATCAAACAAGGTAAGTTTTATTATTTGGTACAGGAATAATACAGTTATTGTGTCTGTATTCATTGTAAATGTGGCTGTTAAAAATGAAGTAGCACTGTATTGGAAAAGGAGAAGAGAAAGGAATTTTATAGATACTAAATCAGAAGAAATTGTTGCACTAAGACAAGCGGAAGTGTCTGTATCCAGTCTGTAAAACACAATCACTTTGAACAAAAGGCTATTTATATCTTTAAAATATGCACAGTTCAGAATCCAGAGAACTTCAGACTCTCAATTATCTAACAGCTATTGTAAAAGCCATCATTCAGAAGTAGAAAATAAAATGGACCTTTCTCTTCTGCTTTTCATTCACATTTGCTCATAAGGAGTTAAAGATGCTTAAACTGTTACCTTGACAAAGTCTACGTGTTTAACGATAAAAGCATTAATACACAAAATGGTGAATTAGACAAAATTACCCTAGGCCAGAGCTCACCTGATGTATTGTCAGGTCCAGGCATTCACTCTTGCCTGACCTGCTCAGTACCTGCCAAGCAGTGGTGTTACAGAAACATCTACAGATACGGCGATCCAGTAAGTACACTATCAGACCCATGCTGACATTTTTTGGAAACAAACCATTTTTTTTTCCCTGCCGCAGCAGCCCTGAGACATCCAAACACAGAGATCATTCTTGGGCT